AGGGGGGGGGTCTAAACGCATTCAATTTGCGCAGGTGTTTCCCGCTACTTTCTCAATATTCGACGGTGCAGGGGGAGGGGTGGCGCCATTTCTCCGTAGCAGTAAACTCAGTTTTATTATTGATAGTCCGGCATTCAAGATACCGTTTTCTTTCTCCCGGAAACAGCTCCTCGCCGTCTCGCACAACGAGCGACCGGTGCACGATGACTCGTTCGTGCGTAAGACAGCACTGATACGCGTCCGAAACCGTATACCAAGTGCTTCAAGAGGATCTTTTATTTTTCCCTGCTTGAATTATTAACAAACCAACATTATTATTCCCGCTTTGTACGATATTACATCGTTTACATTCCAAGTAATATATTCCGTTTTATATGTCGCGAAATCTGCAAATTTGAAATGTCACGTAAAAATGAGAAAGGTAAAATTCGATATTTTATAATTGATGTGTTTTGCTTCGCGTTCAAAAGTTTTTGAAACAAACAAGAGAATCTTGTACATAAATACATATTATTCGTAAGTAAATCTCTATTTTACATTTTTATAGAATTATAGTAAAATCGTATATGGTGTGGCCGTGATTACATTTTTCTGTAGCGAAAGCCACCGTCATTCTCAGGATGGTTAACAAAGGACGAAACAAAACACGAAATGCAATCCTCGTAAAGGCAATTAAAAAATATTACAGGAGACCCTCGCCTAGAGTTCGCAATGCCCCGCGATTCTCCAACCGGTTCTGCGCAAAATAAATATGCTAATTTCGGCCATAAAATTTCCGACGGCGAAATTCCGCTGAATTCATTTGCGGACTTTTCCGCGGAGTGTACGTTATTGTACTTCCTCCCTAGCGCAGAGCTGCGTCGCGAAGTGCGATATATTAGAGCACTTTTGCACAAAGAGCGAATTATGTTAGCGATTATATGACGCCTCCAAAACGTTCCAGGTTAATCATAATCTTTTCGATTGCAAAGAATTATCAATCATTCGCAGCAAGATTATACTTTAGTTTAGAAACTATGTTGGCGGTAAAATTAAGAAGCGGAGAATTATGCGCACATGCGCGTATCGCTATGACGCAGCCTAAAAAGGCATCTATCTTTATCTCACGCATAACCAATCCGTTCATATGGAAAAAAATTAAAACTCACCGGATCGTTGAGAAGATTTCATCGAGATGGATGCAGCATTCTTCCATATGGACGTTCTGCCGGAAGTGCATTCTTCTCTTTGTCTGCAAAATGTAATATCAAAAAGTTTAGTTTTAAATAAACTTCAATTTTGTTAAAAAATATATATATAAATCTGTATTTAAAAATAAAATCGCATTATATCACGCACACGCTGGCAATGTACATTTAGCACATTTTCGCTTTTCTAATTTTACTTCAAATTTTATTTATTATTTTTGAGTTTTAATTTAAATTTTAATTAGAAAATTTAAAATGCAATTAAAATAAAATTGTGCTTTCGCAAATAGTTAAACATCATAAGCGTTTTTTATAGCGTTTTGCTATTTGATGAAGATTCCTATTTTACATTCGGCGCAACGCGATCGTACATCTCGCTTACCGTAAATATGCGTGAACGAGGTAGAAATTGTAGGAAGCGATTAAGTAACATTCGAGGGACCGAGTTAGCTAACTCCATTAGCATTCAAGGGACATGCTTTGTGGCGTCTCCTAATTTAATAGTACCCGCAGTTTGGCTAGGAGCCACGACCTTTCGACTGCCGTGCTAGTTATGATAATAGCGAAAAGGAATTCCGATCCGCAGACCCGCGCACGTGTCCGACGTATGATTAGTATTCGGTATCGATAACCAGATGCGACATATCGCGTCGCGGTATCAACCGCGATTTGTGTTAGCACAGGTGCTGCAATATAATACAATGAACTATATAATCGATAATCGCATATTAAAATAACAATATTATGCATACATACAAACAAACTTTAACAATATAATGTACAGCAAAATGCGGAATCAATCTAGATATATCCTCTTGTGATAATGAACAGCGTGAATCAAATTGAAAGATAATTAATTCGTGAGTGCCACATTGCGCGTTAGTAACCACTGAAGCACCGTGGTTCTTACGTTTCGCACTTTTGCGAATTTTATAAAGAGTCGATTCGTTTTGGATTTTCCGGATGCGATAAACTCGGGAAGAAGAAGTCACGTTCACGCGGTTTATCCGATTTTCCTCTTTGGATCTCCGACACACGATTCCGCCACGAGAAAAAAGAGAGCGAGCGAAGGGGTGCGAGGTAAAAAGCTGTCTTCACCGAACACGGGTTCTATAACACTTTTCGAGCGGCGCGTCGTGGTAAACGCTTCCGGCCCCTCCGCACGATCGGCGCGAAGGCTCGCCGAGCTCGGTAGATATTTTAATGGAAGTTCGAACTCGACTTAAAATATTTCGTCCCGGGCGGGGTGGGGTCGCCGAAGTGTTCATAATGAGATGTTAATGGAGTAGCTCAGGAAAAAAAGTCTGTCACTCGTCACGTCACGTTATCGACAGGTCTCCTCGGTCGAGATCCCTTCGGACTTCTTCCTCCATCCCCTTCCCCTCCCGACACTTCTTAGGCTTCGATTCGCGCTTCTTCTTTATGTTCTTTACGATGAAGCGGGCGAAATATTATCATCCTCCCGCGTATCCTCCCAACAGGAAGAGCAAGGAGGGAAGGCCTATAATCCATTTTGTCTATCGCAGACTTCGCTAGGAGAAAAAAATCTTTCTGAAGGAACCCGTTAATCGAGCCGATTGACAAGTAATCCAGTATAGAGGACGAAATAAACGCCGGCGGACTTGCGGCGAGGATAAAAGAAGACGGCGCGCGAGTGGACTGATATTTTTGATACTAATGAGGATAGATGGCAGTCGCTAAGAGCACGAGATCCCCTGTCATTTTTTAGAATTATCGACTCCGCTCGTCGTCTCGACACTGCGGGACGTTTTATACCTAACGATAATGATCTGCGATAAGGCGACACGGGGTAGCGAGCAAGTTGCCGGTGTTCATTAATTCCGTGATTAAGCCTTTCGGGGCGAAATTGCTCCCAGCTTTTGAAAGAAGTCATCTATCAAGTTTATTTTAGACTTTAAGAACAGATATTAGGAAAAGATTGTTTTTACGGCGAATACATATATCGTGAGTTTAAGGCCACTTAAAATTGGGATCCGTTCGAATCGCAACTTAGAGAGCATTAGCGAAATCGATATCAATTTATGTCAACCGTTAAAATAGATGCGCAAATCGCATTCGGCGGAAATTTTGAGAACCAAGTCTACTATAAATAGTATTACAAAGAGCAAGCCGCGATGTCGCCTTGCATAAATATAGCCGAGGTCAAGGTGCGACTTACTAGATATTACAGGTTCTGTTAGAACGAAGTTATGTTAAATTTGTACGATGGCCGTATCACCGCGACGGACGTGAGAAATAACACAAATGGGATACAGGGAAATATTTGATGCGGACGGCGCGATACAAGTTCGGTAGTTGCAAGTATCTTCAGCGAATATTTGATAACCCCGGGGATGCGCTGTCTAACTTATAACCACGAAATAACATCGACCAGGGACGCGGTGGATGCTCAGAGCGCGGTATCATTTTGGGCTGTGGCCAACTTTCTGTTTAATATAAACGTCCCTGTCAATCTTGTGAAAAGGCCGATAAACAGAAATTAAGATGAATATAATAATCCCGGTAAGTTCAACTATCACTGATACAAATACAGGAAAAGAATTTTAAATAAAATAGTATACTTTTAATAATTTTTTTCGTCGTAATTAATATTTGGATAATATTCGGAGTGAATACAAATGTCAGTGAAATAGATAAAACGTATAAAGGCCCGGCAATACAACGAACGAATGACATCGATACTAATCGAAGTAGACACGGAAGGTTTATGCGCGAGCTCACGTGGGCACAATAGATCGTATCTATCCTTGAATGCAGATCGATACACATTCGTGACGGTGCTATGTATAGTTTACAAAGCATTTCGTCCGCTAACCCACATTAGAATATCTGCTTTCAACCGTAGCTGCTAATGAAAAACAAAGTTATGCGAAATATTGTATTAATAATATAGATAGCTTTCGTCGAATTGAAATAACAGTAAGAAACGGTGTTCAGTCTATTCATCTTTGAGGCAATTCTTTATCGTTTATTACGAAATTATTATAAAGCGCTTATCAACGAACGATTATCGTCGCGGTGCCAGACACTTTACGCAGTCGAAAGGAACCGTTTTGAGCGTATCAACCGGCGGCGATGCAAAGAGAACGACTCGGCGATTCGGAGCAAAGTCGTTTCATCTTGACGAACTCGTAAAAGTGAGGCCAAGGGTTGTAAACCGGCTCGGGGGAAGGTCGACGGAGCCGCTGAATATTCACGAATTCGTGGAGTGCCGACCTACACACCGTACTACACACCAGGGCAGTTCGCGCGTGTCTTACATATTCCGTACCCACGTATGTAGCCTAGCCTTTATCGACGCTTCTCTCGCGAACGAAGACGAACTTTGCGAAGCACCAGAGCGCTCGGGGGCCGTCCAAGAGAAATTTCGAATTTAATCGTTTCCTCGTTCATATTTTCTCTGAATTTCCTATTGCCCTTGCCGACTGCGGTTCGATTAATGTATTCTGTCGCAAGTTTGCGATGCTAAAGAAATAACGAGCAGGATATGCGTAACGATGATATTAATGTGCGGGGAATAAAAGTAAGGATTTAAAAATAATGCTGGGAAATATTAAAATTTTCACGAATTTATGTGTGAGCTAAAAAAATTGCTTTGTTTTTATATCAAATTCGTGGTCGATACTCTGAAATTTAATCATTTGTTTCGTAATTTGTTTAACAATAATCTTTTGTAAACAGAATAATTGAAACAAAATATTTTTAATTTTTAATATTTTTAATATTTTTAATTTTTTAAAAACCAAGAAACACATTATTTAAAAAAAACGTACTATTTAGAAAATCTTTCTTAAATTAAAGATTAAAGTAAGAATTTACTGGAGAAATAAAAACTTTTTTCACCAAAGCTGTGAGATTTGTAGAAAATTGTCTCAGAAACCAGCGCTGAAATAAAATTATCAAATAGTTATGAATTTCATTTCTTAAAATGTTACACAGATAAGGAAATTACGTAACACCTAGTAAAATTTATAATTAGAGTTTCTCGCGGGAGCGCGATCTGCATATATCAGTACGCTCGTCATTCACGCGCATCAAGATGGTGCGTCCGACATTTATTCAAGGAACTGTTTTTCATCCTCTCCCGGGCCGGTATCTATCTCGCATCCATTATCACACTCCCGCCGAGGCCCGCCAATTAATCACGAAAAGGAAATAAGATTTACCAACAGTCGTAGCTGAAAAATAATTATCTCGGCCGCATTATCTTGCACGCCAGCTTTATCACAAACTGCTCGTTACTTATCCTGCAATCTATGCACGTAACATCCTTGCGTACGCGCCGTTTATCGGCACGATATAACCCTCTCATTTGTTTCTTTTTTTTTAAATATCTTACATTTATAATTGCAAGAGAATGAAATCAGCGAAATTAATGGAATTACACTTGCTACGGAATATCTCATTATAGACGTATAGCTTTTTCAGTTCTCACTTTGTTTCTTTTAGAGAAATTTACCCCAGGCTCATTATCGCTGAACGAGAGCTCATAAAATCAAACCGATATCGCTTCTTCATCGAAAGCACCGCGAAAGCGGCAACGGATTATTATTCTGTTCTTCTGGTAGCGAACGAGGCGAAGCAGGTTGCAGGCCAGGACCGTTGAGAGATAACGCGTGTATGTTAGATATGCGAATGCAAATTAACGTTAACCCCATTGGCCACTTTTTGCGCGTTGGCTTACGTGCAAGAGAGCCAAGTGACTCGTTCGCGTTGCGGTTGCTATTGTCGACGCTGGTATGGATTAGCTTCACCTTGTCGATAACGAACTGTGACATTGCGAACTTCGTGTTTCGCATTTCATCTCGTCGTCTCTCGTCTCGCCTCGTCTTGTCTCGTCTCGTCGACATATCGTCAATAAAGCCGCGCCTCTCTCCGGATTGTGTTTGCTTTAAACTTGCAAGCATCGATAATCGAGTTGCACGCTCGTTCATTATTAACGTATTATTCTTCACGCGCTGATGAAACGGAAACAAACGAACGACGATGGAGCGGCACTCGGATGTTTTAGTTCGATTAATGCGCCGCGTTAAACGGGCGATGATCGACAGAAGTAGTTGAGAAACGTGAAGAGAGATATGACGAGGTATTCGCACGCGGAGCAGCATAATTATCAATATTTCTCGGTGAGAAGAATAAAGACGCTATTAAAATTAGAAGATATAATAATTACACTTTTATATAGTCGTGTTTGATGTATCTCGTGTATAATATAACATGAAATGCCATTATAAGTTGTCAAACCGGAAAGTTATATTCCGGTCATTAAATTTTCATATATGTGCATAAATTGAGTGCATCGAGACGTTGCTTATGGCATTTGAATTTAATTGCAATTTTAATTACCAAATTATTAATGTATGATTATGAGACAATCGACAACAATAGTCTGAGCACTGCTCTAATTATTTCATGGCGATTGAAGACTGGAATTTCGGGCGAAACTGAATAGCATTACTGGCGGTTTATCGTCGCGTAACGCCCGTGCGCATAATAAACGGAAGTGAATTGTGAATCGCGGGTCGTATCGTATGCGTATTACGCGGAACTTACGGCACGTATCGCGGGATTTATAAAATCAGCCACTTTACAAGTTGTAACGTCAGTATATCGTCCGCGGCGCGCGTGAGTCATAAAATAATGGACGGCGGACACGCGTGATTAATTTCACCCACGGCGACAGAAATCTTCTAAAGCGGAAATGCATCTAGGAGCAATTTATCGCCGAATATATACGTGACACGTACTTACATAAACGTGACAAACGTGCTATTTGCATTCCACCCGCTTTCGTTCCCGTAAATTCTGCTGGCGCTCGTGATAATTTATAAATCCGCGGAAATAACTTATTTTAACTGACAGCGCGCTCGTCAAAATTGTAACAGCGATGTAATTAAATTTATTGCGACGTTTATTACTTTGTAAATGTAAATTCATATATAGTACTGTAATAATATAGTTTCGCAAAATGCCGTGGGATATTATCTAAACTTCATTTAAATGTGTACCTATTATTGCATTTTCGAAGAGAGTTACACTTGCGAAGAGATTTACACTTTCTTCATTAGTGCTTCCTTGAAGATAAAAAATAATTGATAAGAAAATATTGATGAGAAAATAATGTTTTTTCTCATTAGCCTAAACATTCTATTAAAACATGATAATTAGAATATATTATTCGTATCGATAATTAGAATATATTATTCGATAAATTAGAATATATTATTTAAGACTTTCAAACGTAATGGAAAAATTCAAGGTAATTATATGTCGATTTGCAAATTGCCTAAAATAAATCATAAATTAAAGATTAAATAATAATTTTCTTTTCAGTCACTTTTGCATGCGCGCAGCAACGTACTATTTCTAAAAGATATATTTTATTATATTATAATTAAATAGTATAAATTTTCTCAATTATTTCTGAAAAAGAAAACAATTGCAACAATAATTGCGCAGTGACCGTAAACGAAGCGTCGAAAATGTCAAAGTAGTTTCTTATTCAGAGGGTAGTGAAATTAACGGCGCTTCGCTCTTGGCAAAGTTGCTCGTGATACGATCGATGAACGTCACCAAGCGAAACGATACGCTCGACCGGAGAACGCGAACGCGACGCTGCTAGTCGATCTCGGGGTGCAAAGCTGCAACACGCCGACGAGCCCGAAAGTTCGCTCGCTGGAAACGGACGATAAAGCGGCGGCCGTTTTCCGGCGAGCAGCAACGACGGCCCGATGATGCTGCCCGATCGAGTAAATGATCGAACCATCGCGATTGTTTTAGGCATGCTATGCGTCAGAACACCGGAAACGGAGGTCCGTGCAGAAGATGACGGGGTTAAGTAGATAAAGGGAGCAGCCTGGCCGCCATCGACGACGGACGATTCCCTCGGCTCCTCTCTTTCTCACCGCAGCGCACAATGCTCTGCCATCGCGCCCTTGTCGTTCTCTTCGCTGTCAACGTGCCAATCGGTGAGTGACTTCAACTTTCCCCCGAGGAAAACTTTTCTCTCTCTTTCTCTCTCTCGGAGTGGTACGGAAAAATTTTCGAGAAAACTGACGCGAGTGAAATCTAGAATTTCCGAGAAATGCACGAGACACGCCGTATTTTGAGCTACGTATTATGCATATAAAGCTCGCAACGCGGATGTGAATGATGTTCAATGTGCGGAAGGTATTTTATGTGCATTATACGGAAAATTCTAGATTTCAAGTTTTGAGATAAAATGCCGAATAAAATTTTCAAACAGTGTCTTAAATGTTTGAAAAAGAGAATTGCCGGGACGTTAATCCATATTGTACATTATTTATCATAGCAAAACAAGTAAAAATGCTTTTTGTCGAGAAATATATCGTTCAGTTTGCGAAGCGCATTTATTACCGAGCATTCGATACAACTGAGTAAGCCGAGATGCGTGCTCGATTTGAGTAGCAAGCTACTGTCACATATATCATTCCTGGTCCATTACATCGGCCACGCTTATTGCGATTGACGCGAGAATCGATACATTGTGAAAGGTGTCCAATACGGAAATCTGTTGTGCCCGACAACGAGCAATAACGCAGATGCAACGGGGGGCACGGTGCCAAGGGTGTGCTATACGCGATCCGGAAAATAAATAAAGTGTAGCTCGAGTATGCCACTTCGTTCCGGAAGCGCGACGCCATCCACCGTCGACCTGTCAGATTCTTGCCCGAATGTTTATCCGATAGCAGTAAATAGAGAGAAAGCGATCGCGTTTTTACAAATATTTCACCCCGCATTGCTACAATTTATTGCATCGGGTTATTCTATCTTAGTACGTGACATCTGAATTGTCAAACATTTATCAAATTTCATTGGTGGTTTGTCTCTTTTTCGAATTTACAGAACTTTTAAATAAAAGAATTATGAAAATTATTATAAATAATAATAATACAAAAACAGAGTATTTCGTGCCTAACGCTAGTTGCTAATTGCTTATATTACAATATTACAATTCTTCTTATTAAATATATATGTTAACAATCTTCATGTTGGTTAACTTAATTAAACGTTTCGATCAATATTTGATCATCCTCAGTAATTAAAATATAGTTGTAGAATATAATTTCTATTTGAAGTCATGCTATAAAATATGGAAACAATCAAGTGAGCCAAACAATATAAAAAGATTGTTAACATTTAATAAAAGGAATATTGTAATATAAGCAATTAACAACTAGCGTTAGCCACGAAATCCTCTGTTTTTGTATTATTTCATACGTGCCTTTCTTCCTTTATTGATTATAATTATTCTCTATGCATTAAAAAGCAAAATTTAAGATAAAAAAATTAATTTTTATGAATTATTATTATACATATTATTGATAATTAAAAGTTATATATTTGAATTAATTTAATGCAATTTAATAGCACACATATTTTAATACAAATATACAAAAAAGTTTTATATTTGTAATTATGTAAGCTATTAAATTTCATTAAATTAATTTAGATGTTTAATTTTTTAAATTATTAATAATTGATAAAAGTTAATTTTTTTAATTGGAAATTTATACGGCTATATTGTAGTTAAGTAATCTCTACTTAATTGTTTGCTCCTGTATAGGTATCCTGGATACTACCAACTCTTAAAAGATCGTGATAAAAGCTTAATAGCTTGTGCGCCGCCACGTAATTGCTCTTTCCTTTTTCCGTGATTGATGTACCGATTAACTGCTGCAACAATCGGCTCGGTGCTATAAATTCGATTTAACCGCATCCGTACTCGATCTTGACATAATTCCACCAATAGATACTGTGTACTATACATAACCATCGATTACCCAACCATCGACTATTGAGTCGTTGAGAAGTTAAGTGATATAATTCACATGCGCTAATCTCAAACAATTGCACAGATCCCAATTATTCTTCAAACAAATATACGTCATGTGTTTGAATGTTAAATTAAGCTTTTTTTATCATTATTATACTACAATGATAAAATAATTCATAGAATGAAAAATTCATAGAATGTGCTCTTCTACAAAAATAATCATATTTTCAATAAAATATTTTCAGATAAAAATAATTCTGTAACACATTGACATTTGATGACATCAATTAAATTATCAAGTAAATTCCAAAATTTCACTGTAAACTATACCGAAACCATAACTAATTGATCTTTCATGTATCGCGTGAAATAGCTAAAAGCGACCTGTAAATCATTTTAGGAAAGCGCGACATAAAATATTCAAGTCCAAGTTTATTCTAAATTAACATGAGTCAGTCACGATATAACGAACGCTCGTTGCAAAGTCGGGATCGCGCGATGGCAACATCTGGTGCGGATACCGTGATACTAAATATATATTATACAAACGCGCGCGCGGTATATCTCGAATGTTGCCGGCACCCAAAGTGCGTCAGGAACGCCGCGGGCCTGGTCGCTGTCTCTGATGTTTATTGGCACTGGGAGCATCCACTACACGTACTAAAATTAATGATAGCTTGTTTAGATTACAGTCCGCGAACGTAGTTAGCCTCCGGTAATCTACCGTTGCAATCTGGCCACGTCACTTAACCCTAGCGCAACTGAGTCTCGAGTTATAAGGTAGATTAGTAATAGGTTAATAATTTAACTATTAAAAATATAGCCTCGTGATATAAGAATAATATCCAAATAAACATGCTCATTAAATTTACAAACAAGAAAGCAATACAAAGAAATGTATAGGTAAAATTGTAAAAAATTAGAGTAAGTAGTTCAAGCGAGAATATAAGCATACATTAGGTGTTTTGCAATCCCTTCCGAGCCACGCTGGATTACTTGGGCAAATTTACACGACGCGTTTCTCTCGTTAATCGCGGTTATCATTATCGGTATAATGATTGTTAAGCATTAACGATATCAAGCATTATGCAGCAGTGTTCAAATGAAAAAAATCGAGAAGATTGGTGGAGATAACGTCGATTCAGAGATAGAGTCGCGCAATTTGCGATCGACGGGATATACGTCCTATAATCCGTCCTGTGCAACGCCGCCGACGTCCGATGCAGATGCAACGGAGGATCGGTGCCAAATACGTTATACGGGCCACGGGAAATGGGCACGTAGATCCCAGATATGCCGCGTCCTCCAGTGCTGCGGCATGGGTAGCTCCGGTCTGGTCAACTTCTGGCCCTGATGTTTATTCGGCGCGAGTGGAAGCGCCGACTGTGCTTGTCGTTCGAATTAATTTACCGCTTGCGGGCCTCTCCGGTCTCTTCACACAGATATAGATAAAGAGAGACAGGAAGAGGAATGTACGAGGAGAGAAAGGAAAAGAGATAGATAGAGAATCTTGGCGAGTCGTTCGATTTCATTTCTTTAACTACGTGAGCGATGTGTATAAGATTTCGGTCAATCAGAAATAAACTAGAATTTCGTTTAACTTAATCATTTCTCAATATCATTATTCTTTACTTCAAACTTTAAAAATTTAATCGTAATTTAATCGTTTTTTTAAAGAAAATTTTATTTCAACAGTCTTTATATAAATAAATTCGCATTCTCGGCAGATAACTGGATTCATATATTTTTCAAGCTTGCTTCACGCGCGACTACCGTCTTTTCGTCTCTGAATGGACATTGAAAAACTGAAAGGCATTGTCAAAAATTACTATCAAATTGGCCGCGCAATGTTGTAAGACGTTATCGTTGTCGACCGCAAGAAATATTATCTCACGTTTACGCTATAAAGAAGCCAAGGGTATCTTATACGCTGCGGTAAGACGCTACAAGTCGAGCGTTTCTAGATGCATCATGAAAAATGCACCTACCAACGTGTACGGGGCCAACACTGGTTCGGCGGAGTAAACTCCAGTGCAGATTTGACTCGGTGAATCGGGAGGACGACTTCCAGCCGAGAAAGTGAAGACGAGAGAGGGAAGATCGTGACGGAGGTTTTATCCGTCAGTGACCGGATAAGATTGTTTGTCTATACTGTGGATTACAGACGAGATTCGTCGATTGTTCTACGGGGCACCGTCGGTTTCGCTTTTCCAACCCCCCCCCCTTCCCCTTCCGGGCGTCCCTTATCGGGCAAACAACGACCTTTCCGGCCAAATTGGTCGGTCCGACTCGGAGCCGAGTAAAACGTGATTAATCGCTCACCTCCTTTCGCGGAGATGTATCTGCCTCGCCGACCCTCTGGTGGTTATATAGCGATAAACGGATAACCGCGGTCCAGAACCCAATTGAGTCTCGCCCCGATATAGGTTGCCGCGCACATCGCCTTCGATCTCGAAGAAAAAAAACGACGGAAAAGAAAGGAATAGAAAAAGAGAGAGAGAGAGAGCGCGCGTACGAGAAAAGGATATGTTCGTTAGGTGTTAGTTCGTTAAACTGATTTCTCCCGCGCGCGTCCTTCTCTCGTTTCCTCATTCTCAAAGTTCAACTTCTCTCACTTTGCGGCTACATTCGTTGTCGATCGCAAGAAATATTATACTCCTTCCGGTATTTTCCTTCCAAACGCTTGCATTTCTTGGTCAAATAAATTGACCATCTAACATTCGCAAATTTTGATTCAAGTAATTCGAACAATTTGTTTGACCGATAGTTTTAGATTTAATTCTTGAAATAAACTTTTGTTTTTGTTTTCTATCAACATTTCTTTTCAAGTTTAAATACATTTTTTATACCAAATTATTGTTGAAATAGTGCATTTGGTATAATAAATTGTAAATGTTGATATTTTAAGAGAAATATCTAGCTACATCTTTTTAAGTAGTAATAAAGTGTTAAAGATCGGACACATTCTCGACATTATATTATAATTGCGCTGTATTTATTTGCCGATCCTCAAATTTTCTGTACGTGCTTTTAGAACGATTGGATTTTCTAGTTTTATTGCCGTTAAAGAAGAAATACAGTGGCAAAAGAAGGTAAGGTTTAACGCATTTAATCCTTTCCAAACGACGGCGGCCTTTGAAAAACTACGGTTGTGTATTTCAAAGAACGGAA